TCATCTAGCTGAAGCTCACTGATTTTTCCTAATTTGTTATCAAGCTCGAAAGTATATTAAACCATTGCTAAGCCATCACATTTTGCGTATGAAATGCGTTCAAGCTTGTCCAGCAGTAAGTTTGTTAATAGCAAAAAAAAATAGGCTTATGGATCTGGCTACCAAAAACTGTTTTAAACTTGGATCGGATATTTACGACGATATTTACCCCGAAGGCATCTTACTTCGGGCTAGTTCCATACGTCGACATCACAATTGACGTCTTATTGAACGATACGGTAATCGCATAACTAATGTGAAGTCTATAATGGATGCTTTACGTTGGGAGCAACACGAGCGCAATATACGCAAGCAGACCCTCATTGAGTCTGTCATCACATGTAAGCTACACTTGAGTTAACTTCAATGCAGGACCATCGAGCGCCTAATGAACTTGCCTTATTACTTAAGAATCACTTATGGTTTAATTTGTTTCTTCAGCGAGATTCAATTAAGGGTTAGACTTTTGTGCTAAAAAAATATGGCGTGTTGAATCGTCGCGTAATAGCGGTGCAGGTTGGACAGTATTTGTAAAGTTACGGCACAAATTAGATTGCAAATAGAACAAGTCACACCGAATGATCAGGCCAATAGAAATACCTGGAGCAGCTCCACTGAAAAACATAATTGTACCTTCCGCAAGATGAAAAGGTGCCGCCGGCAGTGTTTTTTTTTTTTTTTTTTTTTTAAATAGAATTTGTTCTTTCAGTTGTGAACCTTATATGTGCCTTATATTCGGCGGTATACATCTTCTTGTGTTAAATGTATGGTATTTACAATCTGCGTATATTGTGGCATATCATGTTTTTCATTCTTGTTGGAGAATAGCGTTGGCGTACAGATACCATCCTGTTTGATTTACTAAATCGTATTGAAATAATAAACTAGAACTACAATTGATCTATAATAGCTGACTGAGTTTCATACTGGTTCACCTAGCCTAAACTCTATTGTTTAATTCGGTAACTTCCTTAAATAGGACCAACATCATAATAAACTTAGCGGTCCCCAATGAATGTGCCTCTTCGCCTTATGACCTCCTTTGTGTCATACTTCGTCTATGCCTCTGTTCTCATCGTTACATTCGAGACTAGAGAATATTATCCTACTTTGCTGTGTTTATCTTTCTGCTGCTACAGTAGACGTTTTTCATTAGTTTTTATTATTACCCGCTCTGTTGGTGGAAATCGCATACGCTGCAGACACTATCGCTGCCTTGCCCATAGGGACCAACGAGTTCTAAGCGCTCGACCGGTAGTTATAGGGCGAGACACCCCTTGAAATGCTGCGTCTCTGCCGACCTAGCAAGCACTTGATTTCTACAAACTGGCTCTTGAGCTGAACCGAGCTAACGTCGATAGTAAGAAGTCTCATTAGAAGTACAAACGAAAAGTTTGAATATTGCCGCGCATATACTACTAACAACTAGTACATTGTCGTATCATTCTAAACACGAGCTGAAAAGGGACACAATGCATTTCTATTCCATGTACTGTTCTGATTAACGAGAGTTATACGCGTTACGTATTCTTGCCGTTTTGATGCGTCGCGTGGGTCGGTATATCGGTGGTGAGCTAATGATTCGCTAATTCGGTTTCTTGTTGTTTCACTCAACAAAATCAAATGCATTCTCTACACTTGATAACTGGTTAACTTGTGGTAGTTTCGCCATCTAAGTTGAATCTAAGCTAGCAAATTGTGTGAGCCTGCAAGCGTTACACCGGCGCACTCGAAGGCGCTTCTATCGTAGTTCGTCCAACAGTTAACATTCGATCTACGTACACAATTGATATACTCATAGCTCGTCATCCGAGAAAAAACCGTCGCTGCCACTAAGTGGATTACTCTTGCCCCCTATAGGCAACCATCACGAATAGCACGACGTACAATGTTAAACATTCTATGTGTATCTTAAGCTATAATATTAGGCAAATCCAGATGATGAATTACAAGTTATTATCTGGCATACGAGTAACCTTCTTCATGCGACCCTAGCGACATAAGCACGGTGCGCACGCAAAGCATAAATAGGACGGTAACGGTGCGAAGCGCATATTTGGGTTTGTTGCAGAGCAGGTGATCGTGGAACGGGCGTCGAACTCACACCAAGTACCGGCGATAGATAAGCAAAAATTCCTTGTGCCAGATGACATTTCCGTTGCTCAGTTTATGTGGATCGTTCGACGCAGGATCGCCCTCAGTCCGGAGCGGGCTCTCTTCCTATTTGTCGGAAGAGTTATGCCGCAGACGAGGTTAGCATCTTTAATCGCATCAATGTATCTGTGTTGGCCTCCTTATACCGTCTGACGACTTGGATACGATTACGCTCTCTGATCATATCTGCCTTCTAGATACCTCTAATTGTCTGACTTCATGACAAGATATGTTGTAGCATTAATTCAAACTATTGTTTAAGCCTGTAAGTTCGGAACTTTAGGATTGCGTCATTCAGCGGGATGACTGTTTATTCTAGATGTCTCTATGGGCCCGACCGCTAAAATGAGCTAACTCGATTCCAAGTCTACTACTGGCGGTGAGCATTGCTTCATCGACCTTGTATCTATATTTCGCGTGTATCACAAGGCATCAATCAGTATGCTACTCCTATTCCAGGAACTAAAACTACTATATTTATGCCCTTTGCACTCGCTCGAAGAACGGATACTGGGGTAACCAACTTCTCCACCAGCCCAGTCGATGCAGACGATTCTCGTCTTCGTGTGAATCCTTTTGTCGGAACAGATTTCGTAATAGGGGAACCCATAGAAAACTTTTACAGAGATATTCAAGATATCCGCAAAAGGGACACAAGAGCTCGCGTTGAATTAGAGTCGAAATCGGCAGGCCATGTAGGCCAATCTATTACTAATCCTATTCGGAAAAAAGCTTTGTCTGTCTAACAAACGCCAAGCAAAAACACCACTTCGATTAACTGAAGATGAAACCACTACACGTACGCGACTATTCAAGTTTGATTAACGGAAATACTGTAGTTTTATAAGCAGCTTATAACTTACTCTTTGCCGTAGCTTTACTGCAACTATCACTGTGCACTATCACAGAATGCGATATGACGCAGTGATAGTTATATTAGCTACGGTTTTGAATGCGGCCTTCGTTTTAGCGGTTCATCTGCTTCGTACTTTTGTAAACACTGCGGCCGATCGCTATATAACGAGCATATATTTTCCGTAATGCGTGTTTTTGTTTGGTTTAGAGATTTGCGGCGTCAGGGGCTAAAGATCAGTCGGATACGCTGAAGATCTCAAGGCTTGCGTTGAGTGTACACGTATACCCCTATAAATATGTAGAAGCATCTATTGCAAATGACTGAAATAGAACGTGGTATAAAGGGAGGTAGATACACGGAGCCACAAACTTATGTTTGCGATTTTTTGCTTCTGTTTGCTTGTGTTTCAGCATGAGCATGGGAGAACTCTACTCACAGTATAAGGACCCAGACGGTTTTCTTTATCTGACGTATAGCGGAGAAAACACATTTGGCTCAAAAGCATCACTCCAATCTATGCTCTGATCAAGGTCTTACCAATTGAAGGACCGCTGCATAAAGGAGCCGCGACACCGACGCGAATGGTTTTACATAAACATAAAAATGACTGAAAAAGAGACCTCTAAGGTATCTGTGGTCTGCTTTTAATTTTAGTTCGTAGCATATTCGTGAAGCCAACTCTAAAATGGCCTCCACTGTAAAAACTTTTGATAAACCTACGCTGGTGGGAAATGGCCTTGTATCCATCAACTAACCCAACTGAATGTAAGAAAAGTTCGGGTTCCTTGGAAAAACATCGGGCAACAACTTAAATAATGCATTGACAACAAGAATATCAAATATAAATAACTTCTACATATTGTGCAGCATACGAAATGTAAAGTACTTAGAATGTGCCGTTACTACCTGAAACTTAACGGCTGACATTAGAAAGAGGCACTCGCTTGCCAGCGACAACAGAGAAAACATTGTACATATCGTTCTGCAGTGATTGCGTGTACTCACTCACTTACTTGACATTGACCGGTCAAGATGTTCCCCTCTTCAAATTCTCAATGAAACGTTGGCTCCATTTACAATAGAATGGACCAGATAGATCGTAGCGAAATGGAGCAACGACATCGGCTCCCATCAAATAAATTATGTGAGTTACGAAGTTGACGAACTAAATTAGAAATTTTGTTATTATAGTTAGTGAAAAAGCGACGTATGTCTATTTTGCCGAAAGCTACCAAGCGCACAAAGGTATTGAAAGTATCTACGCCATACAAAAGCAATGTTTGTGATCGCATTTTGAAATTTGAAAGGACCGCTGACGACGGCGTGTTTCAGGCGCATCATAAGGCAAATAGCACTGCCGAATGTGGCCTTGCCAACAACTCAGATAGCCAATACAATTTACTAGAACGAACCGTTAGTAAACTTCAGATACTTTTTACCAATGTGTCCAAGCTTGTGTATACCGTAGCTCGTTTAAAACCAGGCATTAACGTTAGTGGCTATTACTGCTACTGTCCTAGATTTTATAATGCTTTGTCATAGTTTAGTAGCGCAGGCAGGCCACATAAAAAGAAACCAAGTAAAGCCTAACCACGTAATTTAGAACAAAAGAAGGCTAGACCGTTGTAATATTGCAGTTAACGCATCACCGGAACGGGGCGTGTGACAGCGTATTGGACCTAGATTCGGCACAATTTAGCACTGTTTCTAGAAGTGAACTTTGAACGAAATCGCTTTAAGCCCACATGTTAAAGTAAATTTTCATTAAGAAACATTTTCTCAAACACAGGACGTGCCGATGATACACGTCTGCTCTGTTTTTCTCTAATACGAGTTACTACCACTTTGATGTAAAAAAAAAAAAAAAAAATATGGATTAAGTGGTGTATTAGATCGCCGGCGATTTAGCAGCGTGATAACACTACTAGTCATTGAGATGATTATTACTCACCATTTGTGTCGGCGATGGCGACCGTATCTGGGCTCGGCTGGGTTTGACGCCCGTCATTTTCCGGGTCCTCCGCGCCACGGCTATCGCCATCGCTAGCTTGTTCAACTTTGCTGTGAACAATATAAGGCATTTTGAACGTATTAGAACCTGCGGTTAAATTCTAACTTGAGCATGTTTATAATAAAATGCAGTAACCGCAGCTAACTCTCTATAATCAGCCTAATTACTCATTACGCTAGCCGAACACACGAATCATTTAGGTAAATTACAATATTCTAACCAGAACAAATCGACTGGATGAACAAACGCTTGTATAAGGTCAATTATAATTATCTATCCACAGTTAAGAAACTCTGTCGTTTCAACGTACAACATAACAAATGTCAGCATATATATATATATCTAATAATTAAATTCGAGTTAACTTCGTGTTGAAATGGGACCATGTATGAGACAATGATTGTCGACTCCAGACTATCTTAAACAGTAATATAAACAACAGATAATTAATACAAACAACCTATATCTTTTTTTTTTCTCTCTATATAAGAACGTGACATGCCATATGTGTAGTAATATGGGTCAGTTTTTCTTCCAATTGATTTTATCTAGTTGAGAAAATTATTTCTAATTAATTATTCTAATGGTCAGGGAGGCAAAGACACGTCTTTTTCTAGTGCTAGTTACTTCCAGAGGACGATGTTTTATAACAACACAGACCTTCCCTTAACTACTCCGCGAATATTTCCCTATCCATTATGTCTCAATAACGTTCAATATATGACAGATTAGTAATAATGGCTTGCTCATATTTTCTCTACGTTAGATAGACGCTGCTGCGGACAAAGAAATGCGCCTACAAATATCCAAAATATATAGGCAATGCCGTAAGCACGTTTTTACGTGGAAACTGACGCGATCCTTGGCTGTTCGCTAGTTCACTGAACTATTCATGTATCACATCATGCACACATTATTCTACAACTCACTTGGCCAATAGAAGACTGAACTCTTTTACAGCCACCGAGAATGTTAGCAGACAGGTTGAATTGGAAGCGCCAGGCTGACTGTCAAGCGGAACTACTTGCCCATGAACGAGAGACCATTTTTTTTCTACATAACTGACTCACCGGCAGTGATTTGATGAGCAGATTGATAAGCTTACGCTCCATTGTAAATGATAGCTTGGTAACATAGTTTCTTCAAGCGGTACTTTATTCATTAGCAAACCCCCTGATGACAAAGCGGCTTCATCTACGTCATGACAAGAATAAGAATACACTCAAAAGCCTTCGTCCTATCAGATGGGTATCTGTGACCATTTTATGGTGACCTGCTATCATTAGTACGCTACATCGTATATCGGTCACATGAGAAAATTATCAACTACTCGATCGGTTGGTTGTCTTTGCTCCCGATGGTCTTGTGAAATCTACCAAAATAAAGTGTTTTTTTTTTTAACATACATTTTTTTGTTGCGACTCGTTCATCAATCATTTGTCGTGCTATCAATTAACAACAACGACATGAACTAAAACAAGTTAGGAGAAAAATGATGTGATTTGCCGTACATGCTAATACCTGATGCGTTTCAAGGCGTTGTTCCCTAGCGTCGCGCCGATATTGTTAATAAGACGAGATGTTGATTTTTCTTTTTTCATATATGTGTAAAAGTAGAGTACGTTTCTTTGAGAGAAGCCTGATACGATCGAGGGCGGTATTGAAGGTCCGAACGGTGGTGGGGGTAGCTCTCCGTTGACAACCATTCGCTCGATTTCACCAGACGGAATCCATAGACCTGCGTAGTGAAGACAAAGAGAAAGGCATTTTTCTTAGCAATGTTAGAGGCGGCATGTCTGATTTGATCTACAACGATCTTTTCAACGCGCTGTTACACAGAACCTCAATAGCATGGGGCAAACTTCGTGGACCTTTTCAGAATAATACATGACTATGGTTTTGCCAATAGTCACAAACCCACCTTTCTTATGAGGCATTAATTCAGTGAACGTCTATAACCTGTTGCTGTCTATAATATATATACTCTACATTAACCTACACGTGGACTAGGACTAGCAGGGTGGGAATTATGGTGCTAGTGGTTTTTTTTTTGTTGATTGCATAGCAAAATTGCGTCAGTGGATGGTCTTAAAGAAAGACGGAACAGCGCGACCTGGTACGGAAACTCTTTTCTAAAAAAGGTCATAGAAAATTGATCCTTATTTAGTTTTCTCGATAATTTTAGTTTTTTAGCATACGAAACGGTATTGAATCAAAGACTTTCTTGGCATGATGGTTAGCTGTGATTTCCGCTTGCCTGCTATGTTTTCCTATTATCTGTGTACCCTTGTATCTCAATTGACGCCATCAACATGCTAACCCTAATCATTTATTTGTAAACACTGTTGCATCGACAATGTCGTGCGGTTTCATATGGCTATTTATGTTTTTTCTGTGAACAGTGGATGGCCAATTCGTATCGCTTAACAGATTTGCTTTGCAGATTGAAGGTTATTCTGTAAATTTGGCTTTTCAGGCGTGCTCCGACAAAAAGTTAACCGCAGCCTCGATGAAGGATTCCTGCACAGAAGCGTAATGAAACGTATGAAATCGTCTCCTTGGAAAAATCGTAATTTCCGAAAACGCGCACAAGCAAGATTTTTGCCGGAAAAATGTCATGGACTGAGTTCGGCGTACTGAAAGGCTGTTATATACTAGCAAATGCTTGAGAAAAATGAGACAGCAAGCGAGCCTATACAGCAGAAAAGGCCCGGTAGACAAGGGAAAGTGATTCTCTTCCTGACAATGTTAGGCCATACGTGACAAAAGGTCCTTGAAGCTATTTTGCGATGAACGGTTTTTTGTAGCTGCAATGCGCCTCAGACCCTGTACTGAGGAAATATCAACTTTTAGCATCAATGAAATTTACAACAGTGAACTTGGCCGCGAGACGATCTCAAAGAATGGTCAGACGAACTTTTTAATACCGAAAATTTCTGACAATATCGAATCAATGAGTCCATTGAGGGACGGGGAAATTTTGCAGCATAACGCCAAATACATAACTAAAATGCAACTAACCGTCAGAACTTAATGCTGCATTATAATATGTATGCTCGTATTTTCTTACGTAAGTATTTAACTAAAAGTTGTAACCCTTGCGTACGACCTCTATGTGCTGCTTGAACTGATTACGGTCTAGGTAGCACCATTTTGGTATCGGGACAAAAAGTGTGAATACGTTCGTACAATGAATTGGACACAAAAAAGATAAGTACAAACCTGTTCAGCTTCGTAGAACAAACTCTCACAAAATAAATCCTACCAAAGTAGAGTGGATTCAATCATTGAAAATTCGTCGACGAGCTAGTTAGCGAAGCGATCAGCTGGTAAAGCCAAAGGCCGCGCTAAAGAATCTTCGCTGAAGTTAAGTGCTACCAAAGGCCAAGTGAAGACAATCTCTTTCGAGAGGCAAATTGAAGTAATAATCGCCGCGCACAGGTTCTATATTGGCCGCAATATCTATTTCTACGATTTTAGAGATAAAATGGTTATCATATGGATTTCAAATTAGATGCTTCCACGCTAAAAGTAGGGAGATATTGATTTAGCGAGTTAGTGTACCCGAACCAATTCAACTTTTCAATTAACGCCAATAGAAAATAGATCTTCTTCGTGGCGTAAGTACTGTTTTGACTTTCGCGTCTGATCCTTACGAACGATCTGGTTCTATAGTGAGCAAACATTCATGTTAGTTCCTTCTAGTTCTTTATTCTAGAACTTTGTTTTGCTTCCGATTCTATCGAAACGGATACTGATTTGGTGTGAGTTGTCCTTGGAATAGTCAATTTTTAACTTAAATGTTGTTTAAATCAGCAAACACGCACGCTGAAGCGGCACTGTGCTTATATAATCGAAAACAAACTTTTGATTATTCTGCCGTTACTATAAAAACATAATAGTTGTGTACCAAACTTATGTACAAGCGCCAGAAACAGGCGGTAAGGGTAGCTCGCGATCACATAGCGAATTCAGACATCAACAAAGACGACGCGGATCCATCTGATTCAATCATTGTTCTTAGCTTAAATGTACGAGCAGCACATAATTCTGATAGCAGCCATTAACAATTTTTTCAAGTTTTCGTCACAAAATAGATGTATTATCGCTTGTGACAAATTACCGCATTGTTCAATGGTACCTGTCTGTATCAGCGGACGCAATTCCCAGTCATCAAAAGTGACATAGTAATGAACTTACTAAGTCATAATTAACACCGAGTTGGCTCGGTACTGCTTAACGTCAGAAAGGTACAGTTCATCAGCAAACGTTCCCCCCAGTTGCGAGAGAATGCGACTGGCTTCTATTGTAATAGATGCTGTCGTAACGTTGCGTGGTTATATACAAGCGCGTGCACTGTAATTTTTTTTGCGATAGAACGTGTCGTACGATCGATTCCAAATACAACAAAATCAATGCCGCTAAGTGTCTGGCCGATAAAGGAACCCTGGATTACCAAGATACTAGCAACACTTTTCTTTGTTCCGGCCATATAAAAGTCTGCGAGGTTCGGGAAAAAATGAGGGTGTTGGGGATTACAAGGAACTCACGAAGTTTTTATTTGTCGCGTGAAAGAATCGTCCTGGCCATTCTATTTCCGTGATCGTTATCTATGATTTCGGCAATTGATGCAATTATTGCTTTTTCTCCCTGTCGCATAATATCTTGCGCCATAATCCATAATACATGTCTTAGCGTCAAGCTACATGGAAAATATCACTTTCTCTTTGTTTTTTAGTTTTTTTATTAACAGACAAAAGCACAAAAGCGATCCCGAAAGCTAAATGGAGAACGGTAGCCACGTTTAGCGGAAACGCTTCCTTTTTCAGTTGTAAACAAGATATACTTTATCTAAATGTTTGTGACCGTTCGACGTACACTTTGAAGTAGAACTCGGATTATCATAGTCGGGTCTGACCGATATAATTTTATTTATATGGAAGACATCGAGGGCAATAACGGACGAAAATCTGGTTAAGTGACGTCGTTGCTTTCACGCGAACGACGTCCGCCCGCATGGGGTCAGAAGTGGTAAAACACTCAACCTTTTTAAAACAACAAAAAACTTAAATGTCTATGCAAATCAAAATCTAGCTATACTATTTTTACTCTATAACTTTTCAAATACTGAACGTACATGCAAAAACAATTCTCTGAGATTAGAAAGACGTACTACGAATATCAGCCGATCTAACATATCGGATGGCTTTCAGAGAAAGGTGCTGTTTGAACAGAAAAGCACTAATTAGATAGCTTTTCGAAAATATTGACCCTCAACTTTCTATTTGGTGTTGGGAAGTATGTAGATGCGCGTAGCTTCGTTGTCGTGACTGTCGATGGCCAATGATGACTGTGTAACTGGCGAAACAATCGAATTTAATTACCCTAGGTTCTTGGTAAAATGCCCTGGTTACACAGGCCTTAAGTTCGACACCTACTTTTTGCTAGATGAAGAACAGACTGTTACTGATCGCAGTCCGAGCGCAAAGTGTTTCGCGCATTTCTTAGTATTTATATGAAACAACAACAACGATTTCCTCCCTCTATTAGACTTTGTTAATGGCCATCTTCAGTCACCCTGCATACGATTGACTTCCGGTGTGACCTGTTTGAGGCGTGAGCTTAGCCTAAATCATACCTTTCTATTTGTGCACAGATATTACAAGTGGAATCTCACTGTATAGACATGGATCTTTACTAACCGGTTGCTCCACAGCATCTAGACGTGTTCGAACTTTAAGCTGAGGCCGACATAGAAAACAGCTCTGCTTGAAGGCTAGATTGGGCCTACTTTTTTTTTAAAGGAGGCGCATTTCAGTGGGGAACCTATAAGGCACTCGTATTCGGATTATTGTTGACTCGATACCTTGACAATCATTTTAAGTACCGCAGCTCTGACTTTTCATCTGTCTCAGTTGTGCAGCGTACCGAGAACATTTTCGTCAAAATTGGTCCACTGAATTTGCAATCTCACGCTAACTGCTGTGCTTATCTCGCATTCGACCTGTTACAGTCTTTGTGCACATAGTAACAATGAATTAAACTGGCCATCCTGCCGTCAGCAGTCACACACACGGTGGGTTAACGTCTTTCATTCCACTTTTGGTACCATCAATAGGCATGCTATTTAAATCTGTTTAGGAAACATGGAAGCGGATCATTCCAGTGTTTCCTAGGTTAGTGAACCTGATGAAGCCTAAACTTAATGGAGCACAATAAACATTTTGATACTAAAACTTTCCACTGCGTAATTGAATTCTAAATGAAAGCCATTGCTTGCTCAATGAAGCCATTTTTACATCAACGATTTGGCCATCGTTGACTGCGTGAATCGGTGATTGGGTAACAAAACTAGTTTATTTTAGTTCTATCAACATCCTATTATCCTGGAGCTATGATATTTTCGACTGCAGTAACTTCTGATTCACGCCGATTGCTCCTTCACAATTCTGCCGACGGTTTCTGGTTCGATCGATAGTAATTTTTATTATTTAATTTTTTTTTTTTTTTGTTTTTCGCTCGGTCTGTGCCAACCGTGAGACGCCGCCCTGCGTTTATGCTGCGAGCATGAATTACATACAGATGAGTATCTATTTATGTTTTCCGTGTTTTGCGACCAGTACTAAACCGTTAAGTATTAGTTCAGACGGTTGGCTCGCCGCACGAAGCCGACACAGTATATGCCCCCATGCCATCACGTATCGCTAAATCTATCTCTATACGTACGTGATCGATTTCT